TGTTACCTTGTGCAAACCAGTTAAAGCACTTCAGCCACGAGACCATTATTTTAAAGCACACCTTCCAACCTTATTGAAGTCTGCGATGCCAGTTCATCCTAAAGTTCCTCCTACAGTTTCTCCTAAAGTTTCTACTAAAGTTATTTCTGCTCCTTCCTCTACACAAGTGACTACATTTACTAAAAAGCAGACGACTGGTCCAAAAAGAAAACAAATTGGCTTAGATCGGTGCGCTTCTTGTGAAACGAGCGTGCAACACACAAGAAACTGTAGACAGTGAAATCAAATTTCCCAGCACTAGTAAAGGAATTTCATCTGTAACTCCCAACACTGGTCCTACTGTACTTCAGAAAAATCTAACACCAAAACACAACGAACTTCCACCAATTCGTGGCCAGATGATATCTACAACTACGTAAATCTGGTGTCCAGTCTTCCTGATTCGAAAAAGTACGAAATTCTGTGCAATCATTGCCATTGGAAACCTGGTTCTGATTTTTCTTTTCCTCCACGCGAAAATATTGGTAGACGTTTCCGGTTGGCATAGTTATCACAATTTCCAAGGTTGGCTTACTCTGCTGTGGCAAACGGTGGTTTTTGCGTCACTTGTGTTCTTTTTGGCAGTGAAAGCACGCATAATGCAAGCGAGCTCTAACTATTGATGACCAGTGCTCTTCCTCCAAGTGCTTCTGCTGTCCAGAGACTATGTCAGCATGGTGAAAAATCCAATGTTCACGCAACGGCAACTTTCCGTGCTACACAGTTTAAGCGAATGATCGAGAATAAGACACTTGCTATCGATGCATGTGCAGCTGAAAAAACCCACCCCGTAAAAGACCTGCGTTGCAACAGAAACGCCAAGATGATTGAGTTCGATGTACAGCCCTAATTGGATATTTTTTGCTACGAAGAACCTGAAATACACAGGAACAGTACATGCGGTACAAAGTTGTGGTTTTATGTAAGTACAGTGATTTTGTAACATTCTAATGTTGTAACGTTGAAGAACATGGTATGCTGTTTAAATATTTGACATATTTAGTGCGTTTCGTTATTTGCTCTCTAAAATATGGCGAAATTAATGACGAATTATATGATAGAATTCGATGCTCAGAACTCGGGAAATGGCATTTCCGGGGTTCAAATTTCAAAAATTTTCCGGGGGGGGAATGCCCCCGGACCCCCCTAATTATTGACGGTTTTGGAGTGAGCCACGGTCAGGGTTTAGGCTGGATCCGCGCCTGGGTGACGTAGTTATAAGAAATTTCAAAAATATTGCAACTATATAAATCGATCAACAGCTGTGTTCGTTCACAGCTACGATACTGGCAAAAATTATTGTGATGACAGCGCGATCCACTGGAAAAATTTGAAAATCCATAGAATGGAAATTATATGGACCTTTATTGGAAATAGAATGGATTTTTGAACTGTGTTCTCCGATCTTTTTTGGAAGTCCCATGCTTTTCTATCAGAGTAAAGCTAACTTAAATTATCTCTGGTGCAGCTTGGGGTTGGGGGAGAGGAGGGAAGGCGGGGGTTGGCCCTTTAGCCTCCTCTTTGCGCCACCATGTATTTAAATAAAGCCTCAAATTTAATTAACAAGCTCGCTTCGATCGTAACTGGCAAGTATCTGATAAGTGACTTGGCGGTTTGTAGTACCACTGAAGAGGACGTTCAGTCGAAGCCATGACCGTGGGTCGAGAGTTTGCGTTTAGTCATGGCCACTTTCACAAATTAGGTATCGACGACTTGGTAACGTATCGGCGACAGCGGGCAAATATAATTTAATATGGTAATATCTAGCAACATTAATTGCTGGACGGAAAGCGATCTGACCTAACGGCCACATCAGATGATTAATATCGTATGAGATGTTAACTTTTGTAAACAAAGCAAATCTTGTAAAACTTTATAATAATTTTATATTGAAATGGTTAATTTATGCGCGCTGTATGTCGTTGCTGTACCCGAACAGATATTGTTAGGGAGCATGTGGAGGACATTCTAAAGCCCGCCGCACACGAGAGCAACTTGCTGAGCTAACCGCCTCGCCAGGCGGTTAGCAGGCTCAGCAAGTAGCTCTCGTGTGCGAATAGTTTTCGTAAGGATTTGACCTCTCGAGGCCTTGAGGAAAATATCTATCTTGTTTGAAATTTTTCACCTCGCGAGGAAAATATCTCGGCGTCTGCGGATGTTGTGAGCTAAGTGCTGAGCTGTTCGAATCAATTAGCCAATGACAAACCATGGTTTCTTCATGTGACTTGGAACAAAATGGAGGAAAATGCAAATGATTTTGTCATTTATGTTGTTGTTGAGTAGTTTTCTCAACGTGTGCGGTAAAAATACATAGCTGAGCTAGCTGCCACGCGAGGCGGTTAGCTCAGCAAGTTGCTCTCGTGTGCGGCAGGCTTAAGCATTTGTGACATCAGCGCAATGGGTCTGTTCGCGCATCCTGCGAGCAGGCTCTCAAGGTGAAATGAATCAAGTCTACCCCATAACGTTCGTTTTTCCAAATATGAAATGTTTATCCTTATATGGTGTTATTTGCAACTTTCATGCAAACTAAATTTATAGACCGTACAGTTTAATTTATACTGTTTTTCAAAATATAAGATATTCAAGCATAAATTTAAATGTTTTAAATGCTATTTTCTCAAAACAGAACATTTCGTGCTTTGAGATAAGATGGCCAAAACCAGTTTGATCAATTGATGTGTTTTTATGCATGCATAGTGTTTTTGCTGTTGACATATATACAGTAGAGCTCAGCGGAAACATATAAATTATAGCACCTGACCAATGAGAATTTCGCGTCCCGATTCGAGACGTAGATATTCAAAATTGTATGCCATCAGTGCAGGTTCTGATTTCACCTTGAGAACCTGCTCGCAGGCTACTGTTCGCACAAACAAATTCGCCTAGTGAAAATGGGCTTTAGTCTGCTAGTTTGTTTGGAATTATAAGCCTTCATTGGTATTTACTCAAAAATAGCATGTCTTCGTGCTCCCGGGCACCGCACTACAGGGTGTATAAAAAAACTGAACAGAATTGAAATTGCTCTCAATTTCGCGAAACAGCCATTGGTTTCTAGTTTTTCATGTATATATATAGCTTCTTTGGATACTTATAAGGTAGAATAATGAAAAAAAATTCTCAAATTCAAATTTTGTGAACCAGGGGTGTGTGTCTTTTCCAACAAACTAAAAATGGCTTGCGCACGAAATTTAAAAGTTTTAATCGTATTTTGAGTTAATGGATGGAAAATTTGTTGTGTTTTTAATTACTGTACAAAATCTCAGACCATTTGCTTTAGTTTAAGCCATTTAACTATCGATTTATCCTAAAAAGCAGCCTTTCGCATGCTTAATTAATGCCTTTACCTAATTTGCATATTGCTGACATATGCAAATTGGATAAATGCATTAATTAAGCATGCAAATTGCTGATTTTTTAGGAAAATGTAAGTTTGCGTGGATAGTTGAAGGGCTTAAACTGAAGCAAATTGTCTGAAATTTCGTGCAGCAATTAAACACCCAACACACTTACGATTATAGCTTTTAAATCGCGTGCGCAAGTCATTATTATTTTGTTGGAAAAGACACACCTCCTGGTTTACAAAATTTGTGTACGCGAAATTTTTTCATTATTCTACATTATAAGTACCCAAAGAAGCCATATATATCAAAAACTGAATACTAATAGCTGTTTTGCGAAATTGAGAGCAATTTCAAATCTGTTTAGTTTTTTTTTATACAGCCTGTATTACGGAGACCCGGAGGGGCCATCAATAAAAAACACAAACTTTTTTTTGAAGAAAAAACAAACTTTCTTTGTAAAAAAAAACACAAACTCTTTTTGAAAAAAAAAACACAAACTTTTTTCTGAAAAAAACACACAAACTTTTTTGGGGGGAAAAAACACAAACTTTTTTTTGAAAAACAAACACAAACTTTTTTTTGAAAACCCCCCCCCCCCACTCTTTTGTGAAAAACACGTGGCCGTACACGTGTATAATTTATTGTACAAGATGGCAGACGCGAATATTGCTGTGAGTGATTTGAATAACTATCTTCGATTTCACCAATGCATTGATCTTGAAAGAGATGAATTAATCGAGCGATATTTCAAGCTTGGATTGAAATATAAAAAGATATGTCTTTTTTTTCTCTCCTTGCATGGCATTGAAATCAGTGTACGTAATCCAAGCTCCCATAATGATGTTTATGAAGCTTTGCATGATGAGATAGATTGAGGGTAGCGGTAGTTCTATTGATTATAGATCAATGCATCAACGACTTCGTAACTGTCATAATCTTGTCGTCTCACGAGAAACAGTAAGACACGCGTTAAATATTTTAGATCCAGCTGGAGTTGAAGCACGCTCTAGGCACTGCTTACAACGACGAAGATACGTATGCAAGGGGCCGAATTATATATGGCACATAGACGGATACGATAAACCTAAACCGTTCGGATTTTGTATCCATGGAGCGATAGATGGTTATACCCGTAGAATCTTGTGGCATGACAGTTACGAAGTCGTTGATGCATTGATCTATAACCAATATTAGAACTTCCGCTACCCTCAATCTATCTCCTCATGCAAAGTTTGTCTTTTTTTTTCCCCAAAAAAGTTTGTGTTTTTTTTTTCAAAAAAAAGTTTGTGTTTTTTTTCCAAAAAAAGTTTGTGTTTTTTTTTAATAAAAAGTTTGTGTTTTTTCCCCACAAAAAAGTTTGTGTTTTTTTTCCCAAAAAAAGTTAGTGTTTTTTTTTCCAAAAAAAGTTTGTGTTTTTTTTTTCCAAAAAAAGTTCGTGTTTTTTTTTCCAAAAAAAAGTTTGTGTTTTTTTTACAAAAAAAGTTGGTTTTTTTCCGTATTGTATAGCACTTTGTCTGGTTACCTGCAGTAGCCAAGCCACTCTCCCCATTTCGTTCTTTTCTATTTTTGAAGGCTGGGGATTGCTTTGTTACAACTTTTGTTTCTCCTTTTCAATCTTAGATTTAATTTAAAGTGCAACGCCACTGAAGTGAATATTCTGAAGTGAATATGAATAACTCTTCAATTGGTAACTCGACGCAAATTCCTGAAGAAGGGGAAAACATTCTTATTATCTTCCTAGACAGTCTAATATTACCCCTCAGCTTATCTGGAAACTCCTTGGTCATCTATACAATCCGTAAAGAACGTGAGCTTCAGACAACCTGTAACTATTTACTGCTGAATCTCGCTATATGTGATATCATCGTTGTAACTCTTGGCACTTCAATTGATATCATGTTACAGTTTACAAAATCAAAATGGATCTTGGGTTCATTTCTTTGCCACGTGATCAGTCCTGCTCTGACGATGTTTTACATTTCCGCCTCGTTAATTTTGGTCGTCATCTCTATAGATCGCTACAAAATGTTTGTTCACCCACTCAAGGCTCGCTACCAACGTACTCATGTGAAATACGCTATTATAATTGTTCACATTATATCCCTATGTTGCGTCATGCCTTTTGCCTTCTTCTCGACGATAACAGACGGACATTGCTACGATTCCTGGCCAGAAATTTGGCATCGCAAAGCCTACACAGTCTTTCTATTTCTAATGCAGTATGCATTACCGCTTACTATAATGGCCTTTGCGTATATTGGTGTTGCCATCTCCCTCCTTCGTAATAAATCTGCGTTTAAAAGAAAATTTGAAAGAAAAAGCACCACCCCAATGAAATCGCTTATTGGATTACCATCTCAGTCTCAAATGCATGACGGTATTGGTGTGTCGGAATACTCCGAGACAACAATGCCATGTCGTCCCGTGAACGATGCTAAAGAGCGAGGTATGTCGGTGATATTAGAAAACAATGGCAGAACGAGCAGCATCCTTGACACAGACAATGATGTAAATGCAAACTACTCCACAGCAGATAAGAAATTTAACGTCCCTCGAATTGACGACAAGAAACGATGTTTCGGGTCTTGCCACAAGAGCGAAATCTCTGATCAAAAGCATTTAGTTAACAATTCGTCCGATGAAGGGCCTAGAACTGGAACCGAAGATTCTTCAAAGAATCCTGCAACACCTGAAACAACTCGCACAACAATAAAGCGAAGTCTATCGGATAGGTTGCCAATGAGACGCGCTATTGCCGTTCGCCGTCGTGATCGGAGCTCAACCATTTCAAGCACACCATCTCGACGTGATCAACGAAATAACCGCGCACTTAAGATGATTCTCCTTGTCGTCGTTGTTTTCGCCGTATTTATGCTTCCTCTGCAAATTATGAGTCTACTCCTCGATTTTGCCGGAAAACCGTCACAAGAGAAGTACAAAATTTACGCTTGGTTTGTCATGTGTTCATATTTTGGTAGTTGTACCCTCAATCCATTCATCTATGGTTTAGTGGATCGAACCTTTCGCGCTGGATTCAAGAAATTTGCGAAAAAATTTACAGGAATATGGAAATGTTCATCGAACTAGACTTTAATGCATATCTTTTTATTCTGTTCAAAAAATTTATTAAGAAATGAAGAGTTTGTTCTGGCACATAGAATACATTAAGTTTCTGGAAAGTAATTGACAGATTCGAAAACTAGCCAACACAATTTTGCATTACCAGGCTAATAAACAATTTTTCAAGAGGGATTGCTTTTTAACGCAAGGTGTAAGAGTTAAATTGAAAACAACTCATCCATGCAAGTGAAATCATATAGCCAAGCTAGTGAGTCCTCTTTGCGAAATCTAGCACTTGCAAACTTTAATATTTTAAAGATTTAATTTCTCAAAGAGAATACATGATATTATATTTATATTTTGCAGAACTGATATATAGTGTTTAAGTCAGTAAGGTATGGCATTGATTTTCTTAATTGGTCGAAATTAAATTCGGGATAAAAAAGGATAACAACAACGTTTTTCAATCAGTCTATATATTACAAATCCATGTGCTAGTGACAGGTCGTTGAAAGGCGAACATGTAAACTTGTCATGAAATCTTGCTCGTCTGAATGGGGCATTATACGTCCAACCAGCCGTTATTTTATAGATATACTTAACGGAATTATGGAAATTTGTATGGAATTATGGAAATTTGTATTTTATAGATATACTTAAAGGAATTATGGAAAGAAATTATGGAAATTTGTATATAAGATGGTAAAGAGACCTTTCATCGCTAATGCGATTGGTAATAAATACAAGGAATGGAGGAGAGACAATTTTCAAGATGGTACTTTCAAAATTAAAACTCAAAAGTTCGCACTAGTGTTGATGCATGTCAGCATGTAGGGTATAGTGTATGGTTGTTGGATTTTTCGTGTTTTAACGATAGGCTAAGGAAGCCGCCATCTTGAAAACTTCCTTCGAGATCTCGCAGGGCCTTTTTTAAGGATTCAGTTCCCGTGGGGGTGGGGGCATTTTTTGATAAGGGACCTTTCTGTGAGATAATATATTAGAGGAGCATAGCAATAGCTGAAGCCCACGTGTGTGGCCAACATACCACGCATGAAGGGGGGGGGGGGGGGTCTGGGTGTGTACTTCCCCAGAATTCAGGATGTACTTCCCCAGGAAATGCCATGTATGCTAACTATACTTGTATTTGAAATAAAAGAGGGAAAAATGCACAAAAAGTAAAAAAGAATATTGACCGTAATTTATCATTACTTATTGGAGGGGGATACCAATGGCCGAAGGCCACGTGTGTTGGGGCATAATCCGCAGAAAATTTTTAAAATTTGAAACCCGGAAATGATATTTCTTGCATTCTGAGCATCCAAAAAATAAAAAAATTATTAACAATAATTTATCATTACCTAGTGCTAGAAAAACGTAACAATTTAAATCGATTTTGTTAATAAACAAGGACAAAGGATAAAGCCTAAAAGTTACTTTCCGTTTATCTAATTGTTATTCTTCGCTGGTTTGTTTGTATAATTTTAGGAAAAGGGACTTTTCATGGGGGGGGGCACAAGGGTGGACTGGGGGCATTTCCCCCCCCCCCAGCTTATATGTTAAAAAAGGCCTGAGATCTCGTCCATCCATTGAGATGAATATAACTGGAACGCTACCTCCAACGAGAAATTTGAAGGCCAGTTCCAGTCTTTTCATGCATGCAAAGAGCAGTCACTTATAATATAAACACGCGTGTCTGGAAGTCCGATTTGCCTTCAAGAAAAAGATAGGCAGTTTATCTGAAGGTAGCGTTCCAGTTTCATTTCAATGCGTCGATCCCCTTAACGATTTTAATTAATGTACCTCCAGTTGTCTAATAACATATACAGACTGAGGGACTTTTTGCGTTGTGATAGGATGGATAAGTTTGAAGTATTGAAATAAATCAGTCGTTTAAAGTTTGTTCGTCCACTGCAACCAGGTATATCAATCATGTTTCGCTCGCTACTCTGGTTTAAATAAATGATTACTAAGCCCAGTCGAATTGTAATTAAGACCCAACGTTTCGACACTCCAGTCTAGTGTGTTTATCAGAGTGATCTAAACTGTTGCAATCGTGGCTTCTTAAATACCAAAGGGATGACGTCACCTGCCAATGAGATGCATGTATTCCTCTGGCAAATAGGCACAGTCATCCCTATTCAAAGCATGGTTACTCATATCTATATGCCACGCTTCTAGGCATACTCTTTGACCATAGAGATTGTTTGTACAACCTCGTACCCAGGTTCTCAATCTTCGATCCTACTTCCCTTGAATTGAGACCGTGGTATCGGCTGGTCGTGACCCGTCATATTTTGGCGGATTTGCTCAATTGTTTTAGGAAAAGTATAGTAAGTAGATATTGTAATAAACATTAATATTTTTAAAATAACATTACAAATCAAAACATCTCAGTTACTATCCTTTCCCTAATAACAATTGAGCAAATTCGCCAAAATATGACTGGTCACGTGACCAGCCTATACCAGGGTCTCAATTTAAGCGAGGTAGGATCGAAGATGGGTATGAGGTTGTTTGTGGTAATTACTTTAGAGTTGTCCCACGCAATCTCGTGTTTGGTGTAACATACATGTTCTGCTAAAGCTGATTTCCCCTTGTCTGAAGTTGAAACAGCCTTTTGATGTTCTAGCTTTTAGCCGTGTACCAAACTGGCGTTTAGCTGACCCAAATACTCTTTCTCGCAGTCACCGCATCGGGTATAGAATATGCAGCATGAGTTTCCTGATTTGTTTTAACAGGATCTTTTGGCTTTGCGAAAATATGGCCTAAAGTCAATATGGCCTAAAGACACTAGACTGGAGTGTCGAAACGTTGGGTCTTGATTACAATTCGACTGGGCTTTGTAATAATTTATTAGTTTGAACCAGAGTAGCGAGCAAAACATGAAATCAGTCGTTTAATAAAATTGTTATCGCTGCTTAATGCCGTTTCCTTGCAGTCATTCAGTAAACTGGTAAGTGAGTGTGTGGCAACCATCCTTACTTGCAGCTGGATTAAGAAGGACGGAGTTTATCTTGATCGAATCGAAGGCTTTTTAAGGGCACCTCCGGCTGCCACGATATGACTCATATCTCAGCGCGGAGTATAGCTACGATGGAACTGGAAGCCAGTTTGAAAGTATTTTTCTACACATCCTGTCAACATTCCCTTGGGTGGGAAGTCGGATCATGGGTTCCCAGCGAAAATCGGTAGTATGATCTCAGAGGAACTATACTCACGGGCGTAACTTGGGTGTAAACATTAGGGGAGTGTGGGTTCATTCTCCCCTACGAAAGTGTGTTGTTACAAAATAATGTAAAAGGGCTGGAATGTTTACGATGATCGCTATGAGTATCGAGTGCCAATGATGCGAGACCTTTGGGTCTATGGGGCATACTTCCTCAGAAAAGTTAAATAATTTCGATGGTTATAGCGACGTGTATTAGATTAGAAATGACTAATTTACATGTAAATTTACCAAATATTCAAGGGAATATTTGGTAAATTTACATGTAAATTTACGACAAA